CAGGCGGCTGCTCGGGCCCCGGCCCTTCCTGGCGCTGCGGCAGGGGAGGAGCGGGGCGGGGGCCCCCCCGGGACCCCCGGGGGCTTCGGCAGCCTGAACCCCGATTAGTCCCGTGGGTTTCCTGCCTTGATGCGTTTCCCCCTCCCAGCGCTGTGCTCTTGCAGCCGTGCTAAAGCGGGTGTGATCGCACGCCTTCGAATGCACGAGCACCGCAGGAGTTTGACTTTCGACTATTCGTAATGATAGGGGGGAGAAGAGAATAATCCCAGGGTGCTCTCTGCTTTAAGGTGGCAGTTGAACTCCCTCCTGGTTTTTCAGCCAAGGGTTTGTCAGTATCTTCCAATGACCCTTTTGAAATGGCCCAGGAATCGTTCTTTCTTGATTTGTTTGGGCGTTTTTGTTCTGGGAAGCCAGTATCAAAGGCCACCCTGTGCTGCAGGAGAAACCACACAGCACCAATTCACAACGGCCTACTCCGTTTTTTCACTTAACTCCATATTCACAGTGCTATGATAAGGGGATCTTTTTCATCACAGTGTATATATAGGAACGTACCTAAACATTCTGTCGTGCGAATGTTGCATTTGTACTGTTAACCTGGTAAGGAGAAGCTGCAATTTAATAGAGGGGCAGTTTGTAGGCCAAGGCATTCCCATCTCTCAAAACACCGGTCAAAGGAGTTTTCGTCTTTTCCAGGTGGAACAATGCTTGAAGCGCCTGTGGAAGATGAACTTGGTGGGCTGCATTGAAACTCTGGCAGAATTGATTCCCAAGTCAGTTTCGTGATTCCATGTGTTATATGGGATGTATCCATTAGCTCAGTCTGCAGAGCTGGAGGGGGAGCTAGGTTATAACTGCCTCTTCATTCTTGTATCGTCACAGGGAAAATGCATCCGAAGCCCACGGAGAGTGCTTAGTTCCCAGTCAGCCAATGCTGGAAACAGTGGCTCTGAAGGTACTGGGAGGTTGCAAGCTCATACTACGTCTACTGGACTGTTGCAGTAAAGCTTTTATGTATCCTTTTTTCACCATTAAAGCAGTCTTACAGCTCACCAGCAGCACCTCGTGAGACCAAAACTAGGTCTGCTGTAGGCCCTGTGTTGCTGATGGACTTAACTGTGCAGTTCGTATGTGCAACTTGAAGTTTCTTTGATAGCTGAACAGCTTATTTTTGAGTTATTAGGTAGGAACCTCAGGCTGTTGGCTGGCAGCTGTTCCAGCCTTGAGCAACCTAAAGTTTGGATGCTCATCTCCAAAATTACCCAGGCTATTGCCTTGTGAATTGCCTCTAGTTGGTGTGTTCAGCAAGTCTCATTATGTGCTGTTTATTTTCTGTCCTTAACTGGTGTAATCTTCAGCTTGTCCATTAAACATCTCTGCTCAGAAGAATTCATACTTCTGAACACTGTGGCTTCGGGGTTGTTGAGCCGGCTACGGTTTGTATATTTCAAAGTTAGTCCTGTCTTGCTGTTTGATGTGCCTGTCAGGAAGAAAGACTCTTAATTAGGCCTTGCTGCTGAGTGAGCTTTATTAAATTGGGAGCAGAAGGGCAGTTCCTCCATGATCTAGGATTTGATAGCACCTGAAGTGTTGTGCATGTGGAAAGAGACTTTTTACATGCTGTTTTGGAAGGCTTTGTTGGTTCACACTAGATTTCTTGTAGCACTAATAAAATCACAGTGTTAAAGCCAGCCTGCCACAAACACTTAACATCTGGTACTCTTTGCAGCAGGCGGTTAAGTTCTGTCTCAGGCTGAAATGGAAAGGCTGGGGTAAAGTTGTTCTATAATAACTGCTGAGTTTTCCAGGCAAATCGGTGTTCTCTCTCTGAGCAACACTGAGAAGGTAAGTGCTGTCTGTAGCTGAAGGAGTAACAGTGTTGTGTAGAACTCAGTAAAATGTCTTTGGCAAAAGGGATCTGCTAGCACTATTCTCCTAAGTTGGTATGTACTGCTTTTGGGGGAAGACCACTTGCCAAATGATTGGGATGGGAACATGCTGAGTTTCAGGTGCAGCACTCCAGAAAGTTCTAGGGAAATGGAGGGGGTCCTGGTCAGGGATTTACTAGTCAAGTCACTCTTGTGCTCTGATCTTAAACAGTTCCTTAAAGCTCAGACATATGTTAAGGAAAGCACAGTGCTGGAATGTAGAGAGATAAGCTTGTATTGAGGGGGGGAAAGGGAAAGGGCAGCTTGGATTCTCTTCCATCAGCTCTTCTCTTTGAGCTGAAGGTAGTTCAGGGACCACAAGGTTTTGCTAGAGGAGATTCCATACTTTTTTGTTTTCTCTCCTCAGGATTCAGTACAGGTGTGTGTTGCAGAGCCTTACTTCCTTGTATGGCATATTGTCAACATCACTTCATCTTGTGTCTGAGACCCAACAGATGTCTTATATCAAGGGGTTTACCTTCCCTTCTGATATCAGCAACTTCCTTGGAGTAAATGTCTCTATTGACCTGAAGAAGAAAAAGGCTAGAATGCTTACAACAAAAAAGCCTAAAGGCTGGCTGAAGAAGCTCTTCCCAACAAGGGTAGAGGAAGTGTCCAAGGTGGGGAAAAAGAGAAATGTTGCAACATGTATGAGTGCTGTGAAAAACGGTGGAATCCCATGCCCTGCGGACATCGGAGAGCCGGTTCTGGTGACCAGCAGAGGTAAAGCCTTGTGCCACAGTGCTGCTTGTCTCTGACACCTCAGTTTCTGACTGGCTGCAATTTCTGACTAACAACTGTAGCTTCTGCTACCCACAGAGTGTGGTTCTAGTACAAACTCCCCTCTGCTGGCCTTGGAAGAGGAGTTGAACACTGCATATACCCTTGCCATTATAAATCTCTGGATAATAGCAATGTGAGGCATTTGGGGTTTTTTTTAAACATGATACACCCTGAAGAGAAGCAGGTAATGAAGGCAGTGTACAGGTCCTGTAAATAGCGATTTGTATTTTCCTGCCTCTGTATAGGTGGAGCCCAAGGACAGTGAGGGAAGCTAAGAGCACTGTCTGCTGTCTGTACAAGGCCACGGTTGCATGTACAGGATGCAGTTGTCCTGTGCTTGCTGATTATGGGCTGCACCCAAGCCTTTGCCTGCAGTCACAGCTATGGCCAGTGACTGCAGGCATCCAGGTGTGTGCGTGAAGCTTTTACCCAGTAAGTTCTCCTTTGCAGCCATCTGTAAATTTCTGCATCCTCTTCATCTCCTGCCAGCTGCCATGCAAGATGAGCAGGGACCCCTTGAGTTTATCTGGAAATGCTGAGTACAGGTGTGAGCCTGCAGAGATGGCTGATCTGGGAGCTCAGCAGGGCAAACCACTTTGTGCGAAAACTTAAACTCTCTTTACTTCCTAATGGGAATTCTCCTCTCTTTGTAGGGAGACACCTGGCGGCTGATGTGAAGAGCTTACTTAGACCATCCAGACCTCTAACACAACAGGTTTTAGGGAAACACCTGGCGTCTGATGTGAAGAGCTTACTTAGACCATCCAGACCTCTAACACAACAGGTTTGTATGGCACCATTTTACATGTTAATTTTTTTTTCAGCTTTAAAGACCCTAACGCTCCAAACATGATATCCCTGATTGAAAATGTCCCTTTTCCCTGACTTATTTTTGCACTTGAAAATCACTACTTACTTCTGCTTATGAATTTGAGCATTTATTGGTGTGTCAAGTGAAAAGACCAGAGAGCAAGTCAGTAGCATACAGGAATACAAATTCTACTTACCTGCTGCCTCTTTTTGTATTCCACAAAAAAAGACTGCTCTTCCAATTTCTCCCTAGAAAGTAAGGAATGTTCTCACAAAAAACTCAGTGCACTGCTCTTCTCCAGCAGAGATGATAAAGGCATGTCGTGTTTTTTTAAAGGACTAACTATAGCTGTTACTTTTTGTTTCAGGGTGTGAGAATCACATCAACACCTTGTAAAACAAAGTCAGCATCACTTTCCTCTCGTATAGCAAAATCTCAGCATGCTGGACATCTTCTACAGATGGTCCAAACAGCTACATCATTTGGGGAACTGTCAGAGACACTCAGAAAAGCTATTGTGTGGTGCAAAGGCAACAAATTCAAATCAGCAGCTTATTTTCTGCGTAACAAGTTGTTGAAAAGCAACCGGCTGCACCATGTGGAGGCTCAAGGATGCAGGTAATTTTGCATGGGTGTGGGGTTTCTGGATCTGACACTACATCTTGATATATTTTGCTAGTGTGGAGAAATACGGTGGCCTAAGCCATTCTTTTTAATCAAATGGGATCACTAGTTCATGTTGCTGGAATCTCTGGCATGAGCATCTGCTTAGCTTCAGTCATCTGAAAGGATTTTAAAGGCTAACAAATGCACAAATACCTAAGAAGGAGGGTGAAAATGCAACTTAAATTACATGCATGTTTAATGGTAATGATTATATGATGCAAGGGGTGTCATCTTTCTTCAGAATGGCTTGGCTACTAGGTGCTGTTGTATCTCCTTGGGATGACAAGGAAAACGGCAGAGAAGGCTAATAACCAAATCTCTCCAAACCTGAAATGAAAGAACACTTTAGCACCTGATAAAATGACATTTTGTGCACCTTCCTCCCTTTAAGCTTGAAGAAAAAGCTGTGCTGTGTCAAAACATCTGTCTGCAAATGCCTTCTGTACGGGTCACAAAACACACACTGGCCAAGGCAGTACCTTGGGGCAAGGTTCTGCCGAAGGTGGATCAAATCATCTGTGAGACTGAAGAGAAGAACTCCAAAGACTGTTCAGCAAAAACCTGCTGAGTTTTTTGGGGTCTGCGAGAACAGTGCATCACCCATCCTTCCAGCTTACCAGGATGGGCCTCTGAGTTGGGAAGGATGTTCCAATGCTGATGCAGTCTCTGTCAAACTAAGCGCGGTGGGGACTCCTAAGCAGCTGCTGCAGGAAGGAAACCCTGGCCCTGTGTGGAAAGAAGGTACTGAGAACATGGATATTGATTCTATTTTTGCAGCAATGGGTGTCTGACCTTGGACTTGCAAGGAGGAAAGAGGTCATGTCATTCCAATTATTTTTTTCTTAAGTAAAACCCTTAAAACCCTAGTGGTGTCTTAGTAACTCAGACCCTGAATTCTGCCACACAAGTAGCAACTAGTAAACTATATTATTTTGTAGAACAGGTTATTATTATTATTACTTTTTAATGTAATGTTCTGGAGCCCTCAACATAAGAAGGACATGGAGCTCCAGGATTGAGTCCAGAGGAGGGCCATGAAGATGATCAGAGGGCTGGAGCACCTCTTCTATGAAGACAGGCTCAGGGAGTTGGGGCTGTTCAGCCTGGAGAAGGATCCGGGGAGACGTTATAGCAACCTTCCACTATCTGAAGGGGCTACAGGAAAGCTGGGGAAGGACTTTTTACAAGGGCTTGTAGCATGGATCAAAACTGAAAGAGGGGAGATTTAGGCTAGACATTAGGAGGAAATTCTTTAGTGTAGGCGTGGTGAGGCACTGGAACAGGTTGCCCAGGGAGATTGTGGCTGCCCCCTCCCTGGAAGTGTGCAAGTCCAGGTTGGATGGGGCTCTGAGCAACCCGGTCTAGTGAGAGGTGTCCCTGCCCATGCAGGGGGGTTGGAACTAGAGGATCTTTAAGGTCCCTTCCAACCCAAACCATTCTATTCTATAAAAATGTATTCCAAACAGCTGAATGGTTTTCATCCTTTTATCTATCCTTGCCTAGGGACACCTTTGAGTTAGACTTTGAGAAGAAACTCCATGTTCCTTCTCTATTGCTGGATCATGTGTTAAATGCTGCAGTCAAATCCACATTGCAAAGAGCTACCATTTACTGCAGAAGGCTGCAGCTGACCAGTTACTGCTGTTGCTTGGAACAAAAGACTTGCTGCCACTTTGCCAAGGAAGTAGTCTTACATGCTTCCTTTTGTGCTGATTGTATAGAGGACAGCCTTGTTTTGCAGTATTATTGCTGTTCAGCATTTGATACCCTTGTCCTGAGATAGGGCGCTAAGTGCACTATTGCCTCTGAGCTGCTCCAGAAATACAGAAAAGCACAGCTGTGGCCTGCAACTGTAAACACCTGACTAGTCAACATCTCTCACTGCCCTGAAATCTCTTTAATGTAAGTAATTTCTGCCTGCTTGGCAATGTAAGGCATGGAGCAAGATGATGCTGAAGTGCTGTTGGAACTTCCATACTGAAGTGATGTTGGAACAAGCCATGTGTCTAGTGCTTTCTGCCAGGCTCTTGCTTGTAACTAATCTCAAGATCACCAGGAAATACGAAGAAAAAAAAGTCTCAGAATGAAGAACAGAAATCTTCTTTATTGCAGGGCACCTGCCTAATGGGCTGTACGTACAAGTAAATCAGTTAAGTTCCCTTTCTGAAGCTTAATATTGGTGGAAAATGAGAGCTCTGCCCCCTGGGACAGAAGAAAAAAAATAACCTTCGTAGCCAATTAAGTGCTAAAAAATCTCTTATTATGCACTTCATGTGAATTAGTCAAGGTAAGTTTAGTTATGAGGAGTGGGCCTAAATTTCAAATGTTTTATTCATAGAGCATACACAGAGCTAAGAGCAGAACTTCCATAGTAGTTTGCCTTTGAAAACTTTGTCCAGTTAATTAGGATCTATTTTATAGGTTTCCCACTGTGGGAATACCTAGTGATAACCGAAATACTTGTACAGAGTCACCCATCATTAGCCCTCTCAATATCTGATTCAACATAGGCCTACTTCAGACAGACTTTCTGCCATTACCAAAATCTTTAGAGCTCTTTTCTCATGTCATAAAATAGTATAAAAATACATAAGTACACCACATACAGTCAGATAACATTAAGCTGCTTGAGTACTTAGAAAAGGCTGGGACTGAGGGCAGACACCCCAGCAGTGACCTCCATCCTGAACAACCCCTCCAAACAACACACGATGTTCCTTCCTTTTGGGCAGCAAGTGCCCAAGTTACGCCCCAGTGCAGCCTGCACACAGAATCAGGATCCGTAGTTCGCTTCATCAAAGGCCTTTCTGGCTCGTTTCAGCTCTTCGTTCATAGTGAGGAGGTCTTTAACTCTGGCAAACTTCCGGGGGTCCTTGCGGATGAGGAAGACAATGTCCTCAACCTGTACGCGACCCTGCCGTCCGATTGACATGGCCTTGTGTGTCTGTTGAAAAGAGGAAAGTCAGCAGGGTTCCTTTGACCCTTAATTTCTCCAAGCAGACATTTTGACTCTTATTTCCTCTGATTTTATAATCAAAGAGTAAGCAGTGGCAGGACCTGGGCAGCATCATCCCCGTTACCAGAGAATTTCCCAGAAAACCACAGACTTGTATTGCTCTGCTGTGCCCAGCTGCCTGTCACTGTCCCACTCAGCCCATACCACTCTGTACACACAACAGCAGTGGCATCAAAACTAAAGCCAGATTATATGTGGGACCCCCAGCCTGCAGAGTGCTTGGAGACAAACAGTATCAGGCAGAATTTAGAAGCAATGTGAGGTACCTGTATCACAGGACAGTTCAAGGCATTTTGGTGAGGGAAGGCAAGGCCAGCCTTTCTAAAGAAAGTATTAATGAGGATGTTTTGACCATGCTGTCTAGAGCTGACTTACCATTTCTGTGATAAACTCTATTACCAGGTCCTCAAGAATGTCCACGGATTCTGTGTAAGGGTTCTGGTCATCCCCAAATCCATACATCATGCATCTTACTGCAGAAAGAAACACTCTGTGTGAGGTTTCTTTCACCCCTCCAGCACTGTCAACAACACATCTAGTTAGAGCTCAGCAGCCTACACATCCGTGCCCCAGGTGCGTGTGTCTGGTGGGCAGAACAATCCTCGAGCAGATGTATCAGAAATAACCAGGCAGGTGCCAACCAAAGCCTAGTGCTGTGCGTGCAGGAAAGCCCACCTGACGACAGGCTCTTTAAACATGCATCTACTGAGCACTGGCAGCCTGACTGACTTTTGGCACGGTTAGGTTCGACTGATGCACCAGCAGTACTTGGGTTGGGTTTGGTTTTTTGGGGGGAGGGATG